AACGAATATGGACGTCATTTATTTTATTCGGTGTGGTTGTTACTTCCCATAAATGCCGTGTCCCCATGCACCCACCATTACCTTTGGTGCCCCGAGGATGGCTTCGAGAGTGGATCCAAAACATCAGGCGAGTAAAATTCAGGTTTCAATGATCGAATCACTTAATCTTCAGAGCCCAAACCCTGTCGCTGGAATTGGTTCACACATATGTAGGGCTCAGCATATGTGTGGCGCGTATAGACGTGAATTCAACCACGTCCAGCACCACGTCCAAGTCAATTTCTGGACGTCTTGAGCCTGTCTTGCCGCAGGAAGCGTGGCTTTCGGACTTCACAGACCCAAGTCGCCACCGTGCGCCGAGAATGACTGTGATCTTTGTCTCTTATAATGGCTGACAGGTCATTTAATAAGTTGAAAACGGAAACATATAAGTCACATCAAAGAGAAATGAGGACGATGAAACCAAAACCAGCCAAAAAGGTTATGGAAAGAGAGACTTTAGTTAAGATAAACATCAACCGGAAAAGCAGTTGTTGACCCTTGGCGCGGCACAAGCTGTCATGCGTACATGCTTACTTAAACACAAACAAGCACCATTGCACTACTGTGGACTGGGTACTATACGGAGGACCCTATTTGGGGGTAGGCTACTCACACAAGCTGGACTATGATACCCAAAGTAGACACGGTGTCGGCACAGAGGTAGGGAGCATGCATGCACTTACGCTCTTCAAGGGTCCACACAGGGATCAGCTGTAAAGAATTAGAGGGATAATTGTAGATAAACCAACCTCCACGGCTGTGAGTCAGTTAAAACATGATCGACGGGGAAATCTGCGCAGGTGAGGTATTTGATAGCCTGCATTTCTACTTTCCACTGGGGGGTCACCGTCAACCGAATGGAATTGTGCTCCCCCAGCCGAATTTTAAAAAAATGGACAAGACAGATGCAAACTGAAGGACCTTTGCTTTTGGGAGCTCCTTAATTCGAAAGAAAGTGCTAATTGTTGAAACCCGAGAGGGTGTGTGGGGTTTGAGAGGTCCCCCTTCTCTTCAAAGTGAGTAAAAAGCAGATGGGCGGATTAGACCACTAACCTGAGTCTCTCGCCTCTCCGTGGACGCGTTTCTGACTGTTGTCACAGTCGTCTTGTGTCGCTGAATAATTCGCTTCACCTGCTGACCCTCCTCGTTGATGTAGTAGTCCACTTGGATAACCGGCTCGCCGCGTGTCTCCTCCTAAAGCGAATGCCAGGAAGGAGACAATGACGGACAGCCAGAACACACGGAAAAGGCGAGAGTACTACAGGGACCAGTCGGCTTTTGGAGTTGTCACGCCAGTAAGACATACCTTGTCTGGGATTGTATGAATTCGGATCTAGTGGCAAATGTTTCGGTGTTGAGGCTGACGGCGGCTGATCTAGCAGTCTGAGCGCCTGGGTGTAAGCATGGGTATAGGCAAAAGTGAAGTCTTCAAGCTTTTCTTTGGGCCCGGCATAGGCCGATGAAAACCAGAGCACACAACACAGCTTACGTAGATGTTAGGTCACTTAGAAATCGGGAAATTCATAATGTACTTGAGAAGTAGTAGCTACAAAGTGTACTTAGGTGCGATTGGAAGTCACCACACTACTGGCCTTTGCTGTAACAAGTTAGGAGACCATTCCCTTGGTCTAACTGGTAGATAACGCGCTCCTTTCGACGAAATTTCAAAGGTTCAAATAGCAGGCAGTTTGTCAGACGCAACTAACCCTATTGAAATATACAGGAACGTCTCCTAGACGGAACACCTCTTATCAAGAAACGATATCGACAAAGATTAAGAACACCGGAATGGCCGTTTTTAGCTTACTATCCGCCAGTATCCATTGATGGCAGCCCTAGAGGCCAGGGCATCCGAGGTTATTTTGTGTCGACTGGCCTTGATTTTTAGCAATTTGACGACTTTTGCCTCTTCATTGGTGCGACAACTGTGAGAACGACTTGGCTAGGGGACGCGTTCATCGTGCTGGGGTATTGCAGCTGTTCAGTCGGGTGTTTCTTCAGCTTCGTTGTCGTGTGAGACGTTTGTCAGATCGTTTCGGACTAAGCACGCTGGTGATGTTCTTAACTTCACCGCAATCGTCTCCTGAGGGAGTCTTGCTTGCGCAGTCAGCTTTCTGCATTACCATTGGTGGATTTCATATGTTGCAACGGATTGGACGGGGAACTTAACAAAAAATTGATTAAAGTCACGGCCTCCAAGGGGGCCCTCGTAACACAGTTGGCTAGAGTATTTGCTGTAATGAACTATTCCCCTGCCGTCGTGGGTTCGTAGCCCACTGAGACCGCCACATTTTTCACAAAATTTTCAAACAAATCAAAGAACATCCTTAAAATCACTAACATCGATTTTTGACTGGGATTGCTGGGGGACTGCCATCCTAAAATCTTTAAGTCAAAACACTATGGAGAATGGCTTATACATTCGAGATCACCAACCAGATTAGGGCACGAGTCCGGTGGAATCCACAGAAGCTGCAGCAAGAAGACTGATGTAATTTTTCCAATAGCAACTAAATTTATTCCCGAGTGAGGCAAGAGAACGGCGCGGGATGATTGTTCACTGATACAGTAAGTATATAGAATATATTCCTTCCGTTCAACCTTTATGTTTAATTTAAAGTTCACACAGACGGTCGCATAGCCAATAGTACTAACGCAGAATGAATATCAATAAAAAGAAGGGTGATTGGCATGACCGATTCCAGTTTCAGTCTTTTACTTTCCTAAGAACTAATATTTGAATGTGGTGAAGATCAGTATATGTAAGATGTATAAGCATAGACCAAAATTTGATGTAAATATGCGGGCTTTAGTTCATAAGCCACTGCGGGATAACCGCGTAGTATTCACAAGCTGCCAACAGGCAGACTGGAGTATAACTTGTGGAATTATTTACTATACTAGCAGCACAGGCACTATCTA